GCTGTGCCGGGGGCCTGGCCTCCCCCGCCCCGTGGCGGCGGGCGGGCGCACCCGAAGGAGCAGGAAGCAAGGCTACACGGGGTCATTCTGCTCCCTGTCCCTCTCCTGCCTCCGGGGCAGGAGCCAGGTACCCACCCCCGAGCAAAGGATTCGCTCGGGTATGGAGCAGACAATGCCTTTGCGACCCTGCAGCCCGGGGCATCCCTGCGGGGAGTCATGATGCCTGCTGCTGTCGTGCCTACCAGACGCTTGTGGAATTGCTTCCAAATGAAATGAGTCCTGGCTAGGGTTGTGGTTGGAATTTAGGTCTGCCATCGCCTTGGATGGCTTCTGCAAGTGATCTCTCTGAAAAAAGTATGGAAGTGCTTTTTTTTTTTTTTTGCCAAATGGCTGAGGGTGTGGGGATGAAATTCACAGTCTATTTCCACCTAGGCTGTTCTTACAAGAGTGCTTTTCTGAAACAGAAAAAAAAAAAAGCTCTGTCTATCACTTAAAATATTCTTCCGTGATTGTTGTTACAAGTCATGAACTTTTTAGAAGTTAAAGAACTCCTGCTTTTCTAGTTATTTCCTCATTTGTTTGTTTTCAGTGTGTTAATCACCCTGAACTGTTTTTTGCCACTACATTAGGTTAAAGTCTTGTTCTGCCTAGGATTCTTCTGAAAAGGGAAGGAACAAAAAGTGTCTTCAATCTAAGGAATGTGTTGTTTATTTTTTCACACTAATGAGCAGAAATGGAGAGGAGTGTGCTATGTTAAGTAAATCAGGGAGGCTTAAGAGCTACTAGGTTCTTGTTAAATGGATTTTTTGCTACCTGTTTGTACAAAAAGTGAATCGGTTGCCTAGGGCATTTTGGCAGAAGGAGGATGAATAGCATTTTTGATACTTAGAAAAATAACAGTTTGGGAAGTCATAATGGCCATCAGAAGAGTTTCATCACTGTTGGTAATGAAATTACTTGGTGGAGAGTTTTTCAAAAGGGTACATACGTTTACTGTTTATCCAGCTCTTAAGCAATGTTCCTTGAAGTGTTTCTGGAGCATGATAAAATGTTTTGTTTAATGTAGAAGCTAATACAGGAAAAAAACAGTTATTAGGCCTCATCTTCAGGATGGCCTTGGGCATGACTAGAACTATCAGCGCTATTTCTTTAATGGCAAACTCAGTAATCTTCAGGAAATTAAATGGATAGATCATAAAAACTGATGTTGCTGATTAAATATTTTGAATGTAAATAGTTGAGCATTCAAAATTGAATTAATAAATACACTTGTTGCTATCTCTTCTTCCCTCTACTTTTTCTGATGCAGCTTTGATATTCTGTCCCGCTGATGCAGCTGTTCAGTAATATCTGAAGTAGTGGCTAAAGTGGAAAACTTAGGCACAAAAGTATGCATTGTACAGTTCACCGCATTGTGGGACAAGTAAATGTGACAGTACATGACTTTTCCTTCTGTGAGATGTACCTCATTCTCTGTGTTCCAGTTTGAGTGAAAAACGAGCCTCAAATTATTTCGGCAGCTCTTGATCCTGCTGAGAAAGAGTGACCTTAACAAATGCTCTGTCTATCAAGGGAAAGTGTACACTGGTCAGGAGAGACCTGAACAGGTGCTAATGAAAATACGAGGTCCGCTAAGATGTTAACAATGGATATATTTCTAAATAACCTTGCCCTGTCTTCATAGTGATTTGCTTCTTGGGCTTGAAATTTAGACCCCTAACCTAGCACATCGTTTTTCTGGGGAAAACAGTAATTCATACACTGTTTTAGTGATCTCTTTTTGATGATCAAGTACGGATCACTGGGTGTCTCCCAGAGATGCCTTTACTATGCTTTCTGCAGTGGAGAAGTCCTGTAAACACAGGACTAAAAGGAAGCTGCTCAGTCATAAAGTCCAATCTTAACAGCTATATGTAATCACTTCTATAAACTTCTCATTTTAAAACAGTTGAGTTGTTTGTTCTTTTATTTCTAGGCTGTTACGGAACACTGATAGATGAGAAATTAGAAGATAGTTTCTAGTAAAGTTTATGCGTGATCAGTTCATGCCCATTTGTTCTCATGCCACTATCTTTAAAATCAGAGCTATTTTCCCTCCTTAGTGGTAACCTCTGTGATGCTTTTATTGGAAGCAGGTTCATCTTCTTTTCATCTGTTATTTCTAGGCTACACAAGTTAAGCTGTCGTCTGGTTTCATTTCATAAGATGGGCTCTCTATTCCCCTAGTCATCCTAATAACACATTTTTGCAGCCATTTTTTGAATTCATCTTTCTTTGAGGGTGATCAGAACAGTGTATGATATTCCACATAAAGTCTCACTAGTGCCTTGTAGGAAGATGCTGGTACTTCACAGAATAGTTGAGGTTGGAAGGGACCTCTGGAGATCATCTAGTCCGACCCCCCTGCTCCAGTAGGGTCCTCTAGAGCACATTGCCCAGGATTGTGTCCAGACGGCTTTTGAATATCTCCAGGGAAGGAGACTCCACAGCCTCTCTGGGCAACCTGTTCCAGTGCTCTGTCACCCTTAAAGTAAAGAAGTTTCTCCTCCTGTTCAGATCGAACTTCCTGTGTTTCAGTTTGTGCCCATTGCCTCTTGTCCTGTTGCTGGGCACCACGGAGAAGAGTCTGGCCTCATCCTCCTGACACCCTCCCTTCAGATACTTATACACATTGATGAGATCCCCTCTCAATCTTCTCTTCTCCAGGCTGAACAGGCCCAGCTCCCTCAGCCTTTCCTCACAGGAGAGATCTCGCTCCAGTCCCCTCATCATCTTTGTAGCCCTCCGCTGGACTCTCTCCAGTACTGCCATGTCTCTCTTGTACTGGGGAGCCCACAACTGGACACAGGACTCCAGGTGAGGCCTCCCCAGGGCTGAGGAGAGGGGCAGCATCACCTCCCTCCACCTGCTGGCAACACTCTGCCTCATGCACCCCAGGATCCCATTAGCCTTCTTGGCCACAAGGGCACACTGCTGCCTCATGGTTAACTTGCTGTCCACCAGGACTCCCAGGTCCTTCTCCGCAGAGTTGCTTTCCAGCAGGTCAACCCCCAGCCTGTCCTGGTGCAGGGGGCTCTTCCTCCCCAGGTGCAGGACCCTGCACTTGCCTTTGTTGAACCTCATGAGGTTCCTCTCTGCCCAGCTCTCCAGCCTCTCCAGGTCCCTCTGAATGGCAGCAGAGCCCTCTGGAGTGTCAGCCACTCCCCCCAGTTTAGTCTCATCAGCACACTTGCTGAGGGTACACTCTGTCCCATCTTTCCTGTCTCTGCTGAAAAGAGACTGCTTAATCTTTTCTTTAGTCTTTCCCCACCCCCCTCCTTTTTTTTTTTTTTTATGGCCGCCTCATTTTGTGATTAAGTAACAATCCACAAGGGTAAACTTCCTATCCTCTGCTTTGATCTTCAGGTGAGCAGCTCTGAATTTAAACATAAATTGTTATCATAGATCCTAAATTGTTATTATAGTCCTGAAGCCATTCTTTCTGCACTTTAATAGGAATCTTATTCCAGCCTGATAATAGGTTGTATCAGAAAAGGAAATTTTAATGGCATTGCAAGTTTTATACTAATCCTTCATTTTTCAGCTAAACTTGTAATTTTTCATATTGCATAATACCTCACCAAATTCCATGTATACTAGACTTGCTGCATTTCCTTTGCCTGGAAAATAAATTCAAGGGGAGATACTGGGTTAATGTGGCATGATCTGCCTTTCATATGTTAGCACACTTACCATTTAAAAATTGTGAGAAAAGGGATTTTTGTAGATGTGGGATGAGAAGTATTTTTGAGTTAGGAGGAAAAAAAAGCACTAAATAGTTGAGACAAATAAAATTTAATTACTGATTGATGGTTGCACTAGCTGCTGACCTACACTTAAAAATCATGAGAGAACTTACTGACCAGTGTGTAGCTTGAGGCTGAATAGAAGAAAAGAGGAGGGGGAGGAAAAAAGGAAAACCACAGCCTCAAACATCACACTCTCCACTGAAGGAGAAAAGGATTTTTTGCCTGCCGATCTAGTGAGCTGCTAAACTCATTCCTTGGGCTTCAGTCATCCAATTTTGTTTTATATTACATGTGGAAATGGTTGCATGTGGTTAATACTAAAGGAACTGCCATGCCATATACATTATGAGGTAACCAGACTTACTTTAGAACTGGCTTCTTAATCTTTTTATTTTCATTTTCATGTCCTTAAAGGTGTATGAGAAATATTTAGCAACAGTGAGAATGAGGTAAAAATTTGTTTCAGTTCAACACTTGTAACCAATCACAGGCTCAGCTCTATAGCTCTTAGCAAATCTTCATATGTAATAGGCTAGTTTGGTATATCTTGCTGTGAAAATGAAGTAAACTAGACAGAACTGCAGTGCCCGCATACCTGCATGCCATACTTTCATTATGATTTGAGCATGGGGATCATTTCTGTCTCAAGCAGTCATTCCTCTTAGAACTGGCAAAAAAGGCTAGTTTGAGCTATTGTGAAGCAGAGGCTGTTTTTCTACTGCTGTTTTTTTTTGTGGAGTACAGGAGTACTCCTTCCACATGAAGGGAAGTGAAAATAGAGGAATATAGGAACATTGTCAGAGTATGTAGGGATGTGACAAGGAAGGCTAAGACCCATTTGGAATTAAATCTGGCAAGGGATGTGAAGGACAGCAAGAAGGGCTTCTTCAGATGATCTCCAGAGGTCCCTTCCAACCTAAACAATTCTGTGATTCAAATACATCTACAGCAGAAGAAAAGCTAGGGAAAATGTAGGCCCACTACTGAAAGGGGCAGGGGTCCTGGTAATGAAGGATACAGAGGAGGCAGAGATAATGCATTGTTTGCCTCAACCTTTATTGCTAAGATCAGCCCTCAGGAGTCGTGGACCCTGGAGACCAAAGAGAGTCTAGAGAAAGGAAGACTTTCCCTTGGTCAAGGACAATTGGATTAGAGGTCATTTAGGCAAACTTGACATCCACAAATGCATGGGCCCTGATGGGATACACCCACGAGTGCCGAGGGAGCTGGCAGATGGTATCGCTAGGCCACTCTCTATCATCTTGGAAAGGTCCTCGAGATCAGAAGAGGTGCCTGAGGACTGGAAGAAAGCCAGTGTCACACCAGTCTTCCAAAAGGGCAAGAAGGAGGAGCCAGGAAAGTACAGGCCTGTCAGCCTCCCCTCCATCCCGGGAAAGGTGATGGAACAGCTCCTCCTGGAGGTCATCACTAAGCATCTGGAGGACAAGAAGGTGATCAGGAGTAGTCAGCATGGATTCACCAAAGGGAAATCATGCTTGACCCATCTGATAGCCTTCTCTGGTGGAATGACTGGCTGGGTAGATGAGGGCAGAGCAGTGGATGTTGTCTTTCTGGACTTCAGCAAGGCTTTGGACACTGTCTCCCATCACATCCTTGTGGGTAAACTCAGGAAGTGTGGGTTAGATGAGTGGACAATGAGGTGGATTGAGAACTGGCTGGATGGCTGAGCTCAGAGTGTTGTGGTCAGTGGTGCGGAGTCTAGTTGGAGGCCTGTAGCTAGTGGTGTCCCCCCGGGGTCAATACTGGGTCTGATGTAGTTTAACTTATTCATCAACGACTTGGATGAAGAGAGAGAGTGCCTCCTCAGCATCTACTGATGATTTAAAAAAAAAAAAAAAAAGGGAGGAGTGTCTGATGTTCCAGAGGGCTCTGCTGCAATTCAGAGGGACCTGTCATTCAGGTTGCCCAGAGAGGTTATGGAGTCGTCATCTTTGGAGATATCCAGAAGTCATCTGGAAACGATCCTGGGCAACGTGCTCTAGATGATCCTGCATGAGCAGGGAGGTTGGACTAGATGATCGCCAGAGGTCTCTTCCAACCTCAACGGTTCTGTGATGCTGTGATTCTGTGAAAAAAGCGTTGAGAGGTCTTTTAACTTTGGACAGCAGAAAAAAATGGATGAAATCAAGCCAATAAAACCCTTGATTGTTTACATTTTTATGTATATACTGCACACTTATTTACTGTTCTTGTTGGAAGGCTATATGTTATATCTTCTCTGACTTTGTCATTTCTTTCAGTTTTTCAGATAGAGGACAAAATAAAAGAGAAGAACAGAAAGAAGATAACAGTAGCGCCGAATGCAGCAAACTAGGAAACATGGATCTGAAATTCAGTTCGTCAAGAAAATACATTTCCATCAGCGTACCTTCCAAATCTCAGGCTATGTCGCCTCATATCAAATCAGTAGATGATGTTGTAGTTCTTGGCATGAATCTGAGCAAATTTAACAAACCTACTCAATTTTTCATTTGTGTTTCTGGAGTTTTTATGTTTTATCTAATCTATGGATATTTACAGGTAAATGCTATGAACCTGTGTCTTGGGCCACTTTCCCCATCCCCCCTCCATCTTTTTAATAACATGATATAGTAGCTAATTTAATATGTGAAGGCATCTAAAACGAATACCAATTGCAAAGTCAAGGTTTCAGAAGTTAAAAGCAGTAAGTGTATACTGTATGATTTTGCTACATGCCGATGAGGTTTGGTTCAGTTGGACTTTCTTAACTTTTCTTTTTGTTTTTATGTGCATGATTTATCTTTCAATATTGTTCTTAATACATATTTTTGTATGTGATTTTTATAGTCTTCTAAAAACAAATGAACTGTAGAACCATTCTGACTGCCATATAAGTCCTTATTGGAGTTGAAACCTTTAGATCAGCTTGAGTTCAGTAAGTCCATTACAATAGTAATAGTGTATTCTCTCTGCTCTTAATGGTTGACAAGGCTGAAATATGTGCTATGGTTGTTTGTTAAGCAGAAGAGTAATGTTTAGACAAATCTTAAGTTTTGTGCCAGTTTAAGTTAAGCATTTCTGTAAGCATTTCTATTTCTGTTAACCTCTTTCTGTTATCGTGTCCAGTTGCATTTCTGTTCCTTTTTTGAAATTCAGCTGAATCTTCTCAGAAGTTGTCAAATCATCATATTTTTTCTGGTGCTCTTTTCGAAAACTTCTAAGAAGCTTGTTAAAATGAAAAAAAAATTCTGAATAGTTGTGTTTGACAGAGTTGTCAGTAACTGAAAGCAGAATCTTAAAAAGGAGAATATTTAGGCAGTTTTTGTATGTGTTTTTTTTTTTTTTTTTTTTTTTTTTACTATAGGTGCTGCTGTGCCATCTCTGCCTGTAATTGACACATCTACATAATCCCTTATGCTCTGTCTATATTTTTCCATTGCAGTTCCTCAAGGGAATACATTTGACCCATGAATGGTCATCTCAAATTATAGATAGTAACAAACTTCCTCTAAAAGACAAATTTGCTGGTAATCTTCTTTACTTAGAAACACGCACTTAATATTTGTCTTTTAGAGAAAGTTTGTATTTAATTTGTTGTGAGCTATTTATAAATTCTGGCTAAAAACAAAGTCAATCTGAGTAAATGAACAGAAAAGCAAGTAAAAAGCAAACGGGAAACTATCTACAATTTGAGATGACCATTCATGGGTCAAATGTATTCCCTTGAGGAATCATTTCATTAATTTCAGTGGACTTACACCAGCAATAATTTTTCTCATTGAATTTTGCAGAAACTAAATTGTCTCTTTCAATAATACTTTGCAGGTCCTGAAAAATATATGGCAGGTGAATTCTAGTTGTTAATTAACAGCTGCAAATGATAGATTTGCATGTATATGAAGAAAAAATAAATCTGTTGATTTTGTTTTGATTTATTGTTTTGCATATGTACATTACCTTGGTGTATTTTTGTTTTTATAGGAACTAATATTTTCAGTGGACGGTTTTAAACCCTTTGGTTGGTACCTTACTTTAGTGCAATTTGGATTTTATTCCATTTTTGGACTAATAGAATTGCAGCTGATTCAGGACAAAAGGAGAAGGTATGTATGGTACATTTAACATCTGTTGTTTGAATATGAATATTGTGAGGCATTGGTAGCAGTTCCATAGTTAAATTAACTTACTGGGCAATGTTAGAAAATATTTCATAAATGAGCTTATGATTAGTAAACGGCAAGGTGTATCTTCAAACTATATTCCGGGGCCCTTCATCTTCTGTCATGTCTGACATGCTGTGGTTAGGGAATTAGAATCAGAAATTCCTGAATCTTAATCCTTTTATATGTATATCCTTTAGGATCTGGCAAAAGCCATTTAGCCTATTGGATGTTTTTTTTCTTGTCTAATTTTTTCTTATCTGTAAGGTAAGCTGCCCTCTTAGATACACTGTGAGAATAGGTATGTTAAAGCTAAGAACTGATAAATGCTATCACTGATTGTTAAACTCGGAATCAGGATGCTTTCAAAGTAGGGTTCTTATATGAACAAATGAACAGCTTCCAAGATGTGACTCTCTCTGTTTCAGTACTTGGATATTACACAGAGTACGATTATTCACAGCATATAGTCTGCAGCTTCTAAAATACAGCTCCGTAGCAGTATGTAGAACATACTCTATATATGTAGACAAAAAAAAAAATTGAAGCCTTTGGTGTTCACCCTGGCAGAAGATACAGATAATGCACCTGCTTAGATTTCAGACTCATAAGTAGTCTTGTTGACTTTGTCTGTATTGCCATTTTCACCCAGTCACAGAGCGATTTATATCCCCAAACTAGCTGATGCAGACTGACTCATGTATGTGCTACTGTGGGTTATCATATCTAGAACAGGCAGAGTGCACTTCTCGGTACTTGAAGCCGTCTCTCACGTAATATGTTTTCTTCAGACTTCTGCACCTCCTCAGCAACAGTTTCCTCTAACATGCTATCTATCTTAGAGCATCGCATGTCTGCTGCATGTTTGCTGTTTAAGTTTTCCTCAAAATCTATTTCTAATTTTTGGTTTTCATTTCAAATTGCACTCAAAACACCCTGCCACAAAACTGTTCTGCGTTTTTGCCGTAGTTAACCAAGGAGATTCTTTCTGTCTTAAATACCATGGAAACGAGGTAGTTTGATCCAGCTCAGTGTGGCCGTTCTTACAGTTTCCTCTCCAGCTACTGCCTCTGCAAACTGTATATTCTTTGCAACTTGGACAGAGGCTGCCATGATGTATGCGAATTTAAAAAGTGTGTTAAAAGTGTTATTTCTTAGTTGAGCATACCCAGTTTTCCTTACGTGTATTCGTCCTTGGCTTATGTTTTATATGCTGTTTTTAGGTCATAGAATTCTTTTACAGCCAAGCGAGGCAACTTTGGAAAATAATAATTTGTATTTTGAACACCTACAGCTCATGTTTTGAGGTATCTGACTGTTTCAGAGGCATCAGACAATGCAAAGTTTTTAACTGTCAAGCTTTCTATAACCGGTATTTGTATTTTGGTTACGAAAACAGTTGCTAAAGTTTATGGAATGTGGCCCTGCACGTAACTTATGTGGGAAATGTAGATCTTAAAATATTTTATTTTCTGTAATCTGTGCATCCTCTTGTAGGTTTTAAAAATCTATTTCCTAGTTTTGATTCTGCATTCTGTCTTTCTTGAATCTTCTTATACAATTATTTTTCTTGCATGCATCAGTGTTTGCCTACATCACAGACTGAGTTATGGGTAAGACAGAGTTTTACAGCAACACATCTCCTTATGTTACTTAGTTTGGCTTTGAGTATGCATAAAATTCAGCTGAACATATGCACAGTAATGCACAATAATGTAAAAAGTTACTTCACAAATGCAACACAGTCATCGTTAAAAATTACTGCTGGATCACCTGTCATCGGGTGATAATTTCATCAGATTGCAAACAATACATTTGTAAAAGTTCAAGGAGCCCATCCCTTCATGATACTTGAATCACTTATCTTTTATTTCTATAGAGTTCTGTAAAATAACTTTACTTTTTTTCCCCACTTCCTCCTCTCTAAAAACACCAGTGTTCTTGTGTGTAGTTCACCAAAAAATTGACCTCGAGACCATGACAGGACTGAGATTCAGGATATCTAGGTATACAAACCTTCTGTGTCTCCTTTGACAAGTAACTTAAAGCCTTTTTCTTGATTCTTTTGTAAATAACATAACTCCTTAGAAGGAAATTAAAGAATTCTTCCTTGAATACTTCATGAGCCTTGAGATTTTTACAGTGTCTTGTATTTGAACGTTATTTGTTAGAGGTAATTAAAGGAATTAAATTTGAAACCACTCATTTTTATGCATTTTTAACTTTCTATTGTGGGGTGAAATTCAGTGAGAGATATGGTCAAGTTCTATTATGAAATTATTCTTTTATCTAGATTATCCAAGCTAAATCTCTTTTAGATTTACAGAGTGTCTGTAATAACAAGATTCATATGTTTATATTTTGTAGAATTCCTGGGAAAACCTACATGATAATAGCCTTTTTAACAGTGGGAACTATGGGTTTGTCAAATACCTCTTTAGGATATCTAAATTACCCTACTCAAGTCATCTTCAAGTGCTGTAAACTGATTCCAGTTATGATAGGCGGGGTTTTTATACAAGGTAAGTGTTAGTTTTGCTATTGGATAGCTATTAGGTTTTTTTGGGGGGAGGGGGACAAACATGTACGGAATCCTGTATTTTGTTAAATGTAATTGAAGTTCTTGGTTAGAGAGGAACAGATTTTTTCCCTGAGGAAAAATGTGAATTTCTGAAACAACATCTCAAAAATGTTCAGATAAAATTAGATAAACAAAAGAAGGGGCAAGGGAAGTGGTATAGGTCAATCACGAAACTTCCTTTATAAGCAGACTTTCTTAATTTTTACGTCACTTTATTTTTTTAAACACAGTCATTTCACAAATGAACCATTTTTTATGAAAAACTTAGAAATGAAAAAAATCTAGGCATGATTTGTGAAGAAATCCTCTACACATGTTGTTTAAAAAGCTTGTTTAACTGCTGCTTCCCCCACATGGTTTTTTGTTTTTGTTTTTTTTGGCAAATGTTTAATAAGAAATACACGTGTTCATATTCCAAGAACATAAAAAGGGATATGGAAAACAACAGAAAACACTAATTATGTGAATAAACATACTTCAGGACTTCTGTTGGTAAGCTTTAAGTATAGTGTGAAAGTTTTTGTTTCTGTGGTAGATATAAGGATTCATTAACTATTCATTAACAATAATTAACTCTTCATATGAAAGTGTTGTGGAGCAGAATCTAAAATGGTGCATTTCTGTTGTTGTAGTTCCGGCCTTCTACTCACAATAGAAAGCTGAACTTCTGGAGGACTGTGTCTGGGGCAGTAAATGCATCTAAGGAAAAAATTCTGTCCAGGCTTGTGAAGCTTAAACTTTACATGCATGTACATGTGCATGCACAGGCTCACACACACGCACGCATGCACACACACACACGCACTATTTACCATCTGTTAAGAATCATTGTGTATCATTTGAATTAAGGGAATATCAATCTCTGAAAACTTCCTAAAACCTTGTAGTGTGTGGGTATGTATATGCATACACACACATACACACGCGCACACACACATACCAACATACACACACACAGAGTTACATATATATATAGCATATTCTCAGAAGCTGTGAATGTTTTTCAGTTAAAATTTGCTTTCCAGAAAAATATCCTTGGAATTTTATATGGAAGCTGTGACTTGTGGGGAAAATAATAGGTTATTTAGAACAAGACATCCCAGCTCCTGCCTTTCTGTTTTCCTTCTCTCTTTCTTACTCCTCCCTGCTTTACATCCTATTTGCCCCAGACTGAAAAATAATGCATGGTTCCAGAAGTACTGGTTCCCAAATGGCCAACTAAATGCTTGAAAATGACTTCTCTCTAATAAATAATGCAGCTGAAATGTCTTGCATGAGAAATTTGTCTTAAGAAAGCATCCAAGCTGTCCTGAAGTCGCTGAGATGGTGATTTGTGGGGGCGGATGTATTTTTTAATTGGGAGTAAAATTAAAAGTGGGAACAAAAATCAGATAAGATCTGCAAAGACCTTTTCTGTTAGGAACTGCTGCTATAGAAGAAGCTGATTCTGGTCATGAAAGGCCAGGACATTAGACAATGTGCTTTAATAGAAGAATGACGTTGGAACAGTTTTTTTGCTCTTGACTCCTATCCTGCTGACAGGATAAACACAAAATACTAAGAGTATTACAGTCTTATTGATGTTGTTGGTTTCCTTTTGTAGGAAAGCGTTATAATGTTGCAGATGTCTCTGCTGCCCTGTGTATGAGTCTTGGATTAATATGGTTTACTTTAGCTGACAGCACAGTTGCACCAAACTTCAACTTGACAGGTAAAGATATATATTATAGTTTCATAAAATGCTTATGTAGTCTACAGTAAGCATTCCATAAAGGGTCTAAGTGTTCTTAGTGTAGTGTCTTCAGGTATCATACTGAAAATGCAGATTTCATTGTCATTGCACTACATCTGTGGCAGAACAGGCTTTTTTTTTCCTTAAGCCTTAGTTTTTAGGTTCTTAACTTTCTGAAAATACCACCTTTTATGTTGTAATATCCCATGCTTGTTCTCAGGAATAATTACTTCTGAATAGAGATACTAAAATAAATTTGATGAAATTCCATTTGACCATTTTGAATACTTCAAAAGGTGAGGTTTTATGTTTTTCTAGTTAAACCTTTCAGTCTCTTTCCGTATCAGAATCATTTATTTTGTATTTGCTGTAGATCTCACTCTAGGTAATAAAATAACTTGTTATATTTAGAAACTTAATGGAATTTCTATCTCAAATGCCATGAAAGAATTAGTTATTCATAAAAAATATATATTATATACTTGGCCAGTGTTTGGATTAATACCGAACCTTAGAAGACTTTTGAATAGTCTTCTTTCAGTGTTTTCTTCCTTTAAAATTTTGGGTGAGGTATAATAATAGTTATGGCAGACATTCAGTGTGAAACTTTTATTTCTTAATAGTGGAGGCATCAATTTAGAAGTTTTTTTCCTAAAAATAATGATTAAATCTTCTGTTAAAAAGATTTTTTTTGTCCTCACAAAATGTTATTTCTTTTAGTGATAAATAATGATCTAATGGGAAGGGCATGTGATGTTATTTAAACGTGTATTTTTTTGCCTTGCTCATAATTTAACTCTCATGCCTTTTAATGTTGAGAGCTAATAACATATTTAAGAATATTAACGCTTTTAAAAACATAAACAGCAAAATAAGCGTTAAACTTCAAAATAATAGTTTTTAAAAACTTAAGTTGCTTTATGTTACTACCTACTTACTGGCCACTAAATAATTTCAGAGTTCCTCCTATGGTTTGTACAAATTTATGTGGAACTGTTGAAATGCAAACTAGTATGGTTCTAGCCTGATTTCATCAAAATTGTGTTAACATGCATGTTGTCAAGGGAAAATCTGTTTTCATGCCACAGCTCTAAGAAAGCAAAACTATGCTCTGAAGTTGAACAGAACAAATACTTTTTAATACAAATGCTGAAAACAGAACGAATAGCTATAAAGTATTAGCTGGATGAACAGTTTTGCCCATATTGTTCCATAAAGAACATTACAAGTTGTGGGTTTGAAGTGAATGAGTTTGTTTTTTTGTCTGTTCATTTTATAGTCCTGAAATCCAACCTCAGTATTGCTGGGCCAAAAAAAAAAATCCATACAAGTTTTGTTTACATAAGAAAGTTTATCAACAAAGTAAACAGCAACTGTGGCCTGTGCCAAGGCAGTCTCATGTTTGTAACCATGGGAGAGGTATATTCTCAAGGTTGCGAGGGTGATAAGAGCTCAAAAACATCACCGAGTATTATCAAATTGGGGAGCTAGGTGTAGATTGTCTAAATAGCCATGAGCACTAGATGTAGGACTTTCACAAGAGAAGCAGACCAGAGGAGGAGTGTTCAGAAGGAAGCCATGTTGCAACATTGGTGCAACAGAAATTTCCACTGTTCTGGTATTACAGGTATAAATAGAAATTAACTATTTTCAGTGAGGAAACAGTTTAAAAAAAAAAAAAAAGTGCAAAACATTGTATCTTAGAATCCTAGTCCTTAGCTTCACTGTTGTTAAGATAATATTTGTTGGTTAGTTAGCGAGTGTGTTCTAATCCCATGTACAGCGAGCTTCAAAAATGTAAATTATTAAAGAGATCTTAATAGGCAAATAAGCTCCAAACTACTCAGTAGTCTTCAATAACACATCTGCCCGGTGGGAACTGCAAGTGTGAGAATATGTTGTTGAGTAAGTTATGCAAGTGTCCAGGAGCTTGTAAATATATACCAGTGTTAGCATTTTAGTGACTTCAAACGTTACATTAATAGTGTAAAATACAATGTAATGTAGTGTCTTAAGCAGGTCTGTTAGTGCAAATCATCCAGGTCTTATCCCTTTCAGGACTAATTTAGGACCAGTTCTTCCAATAATTTTTACTCATGCTTTACATATTGCATAATGTTGCTGCTCTTATTCGTGGTTTTGCCTCTTCTTGGCAAATGCAGCACTGTCACAATAAGAGTGGAACAACTCTCTCTTGTACCCCCGAGTATATACTTACATAATAGTAGTATGTCTTGTCCCTCCATATCTTTCTTCCATGCTCACTTGCACTTCAGGTTCCAAATAACTCTTTAATCTCAATCCAGCGCTGAAGCCATGCGTTTGTCCTGTGATGTGCCTGGGCCTTTAAGTCTCACTGGAAACAGCCTGATCAAGAATGCAAATGGAAAGATACTCAGTCGCTTTATATAAGTCATCTGCTGCAAGGCTGTCGCTGAGTTAAGAGTTAACATACCTTTGGACCAGAGCTGATTTCATGTGTTTGATATCTCTATACTATGGTCCCTAGCATAACCAATAGTATTCAGGCTGTCATGTCGTTTCCATTAACTCCTCAGTGCCTGGTAACTTTGAATAACAGAGTTGTCCACATAATCTTTTTGTGTTGCTTCAGCTGCAGCCTGGGAGAGGAAATGGTTCCCAACGAAAAAAGCTCATTTAGAAATTCACCTTTATTTAGAAGTTTACCAGTGAGATGCTACCTTAAACTTCACTTGTCTTAAACATGTTAAACCTTTCATTTCTGGAAATCTTAGAAGTGTGTGTGTGTTTGTATGTTTGTTTTTTCTCTGTCTGATAGGATTTTATTGGCCATTTGGTCCATCAGAATGCCCGTTTGAGACCACTGGTCTTAAGAACATAATATTAAGAAAATACTGTGCTATTTATTTCTTGTCTTCTGCTCATCATTCTTCTCTGACCCTCCTGATTTTTTAAGGAACTAAGATTAGAATAGACAGCAGACGTGGTTTTAACTACTGATATCTTGTGCAGCAAGTTAATGTGATGTTGTCTACTTTATTAAAACTGGGATTTCACCTGTGTGCATCATTAATTTCTAGCTCTTGCAATGTTAAATGCAGCGGTTGCTACAGTCATGAAAGAATTAAAGTTTAGAGGTTGGGAAATGAATTGTGGCTGGCACGGGTAGTTACTAATTTTTGTTATTGGAAAGCTCACTATACGTTGCTCACTATGTAGTGACTTTGTTATTACCAGGTATGACAACATAAAAGCATGGGTTTTGTACCTGAACAGTACTTTTTAAAAAGGAATTAAAGATTTTCATTGCTGTGAATCATCTTGCATTTGTTCTATCACTATGTCTAATATATTTCAATGTTACATGTGTGGTGTATTTTTTTTTCCTTTATTGGGAAAAATAATCTAGCATTTGCTCCTTCGCGGGGTATATTCTCTGGTAATTTATCTTCATAACAGACAAGTACCTAAATAAATGCAGTTTACATTCTATCGCTCTTGTTGCTACAAAAACTACAGTTTACCTGTATTACAGCAATGCCCAGATGTTTCTATCAAGATAAGCACAGTGCTCTGAGCTTAACCAAGAAAATAAATGCTTTATAGACTGTTAAAACTTATGTCAGTAAAACAAAGTAGTTTTGTTGACCTTTGGAATCTGATATAAAGATTTTTTTTTTCTATTCCTGAGATTTTTCAGGATAAGTACAGAGTGATTTTGATTTTCATCACTACTGTTTTGTTGATAAATATTCTGAATACGTCTTTTTTTTTTTCCTTGCTTTCTTGTATTAGGTGTGGTCCTAATATCCCTTGCCCTCTGTGCAGATGCAATTATAGGAAACGTACAGGAAAAAGCTATGAAGTTGCACAATGGTTCTAATTCAGAAATGGTAAATACCAAATTCTAATGTAGTATTCTGTCACACAAACTCTGGGAGTATTTAAGTAATGAAATTGATCAGCTATTTTAGGGGGAGATGAAGGCCTGAATTAATATGAAATTGGAATCTTTTGCAATTTTAAGGATATGTTTCGTCAAAGATAAGACATACGATGACAAACCATAAATTAATCTACTTTTCTCTGGCATGTGTAGATAATAGCTCTCGGTGTATTCATTTTCTACCTTTCAGGGGTGCTGATTTCTGTACGCTGTTTCGAATGTATATTGCAGCTACAAAAGCATCTCCTCTCTAGCAAAAAATTTTTTATATGGACGGGGAAGAGACTGCCATGCAGCCCTGGAATCAGTGGAGTGTTTTCTGTGTGATTCGGCACTTAAAATTTTCTAAAAATATATCCTGTTTTTCTGGTATAGAAGTATATGTTACACTGTATTGTTACACTGAACTCTATATAATTTTTTGTAATTGCTTTTCTTAATCACTTGCTAGACTTCTGAATCTAGATAGTGTGCTAGCGTTTCAGAGAGAATTTTTTTCAGAGCTTGTTCCATTATGTTAAAATCAGTAAAAACTTCTGTCTTTTCAAGTAGATAGATGCCTGTTCTTGATTCAGCAAAATACATTGTTTTAAACAATTCTTGTTCAGTTTTTTTATATTAGAATTTTTTATATACTTCAGAACATGGATTGTCTGACTGTTTGACTTTTTTAATTTGTTCTGGATTTCACATCTTTTTCTCTAAAATAAATACAAACTAACCTTTTATTAGCTTGGATTATGCCTCAAAGTCATTAGGTTGGCTCAAGAAGTTTGAGCTGCTGGTTTCTGGAAGGTGGAAGAATACACCTGAAAGTATCACTGTATTCTTGTTTCCATTTCTGTATTTTTCCTCAGTATTCACTGTTAACTGCTGCCAGAGACAGAGTTTTTGGTTCGAGCGACCTTGTCTGACCCAGTACAGGCTTTTGTAGCTGTAATGTCAGAGGTCCAAAACAAAGGGCAGTCTGTAACCGCTTTCTTGCGTACTTTGCCTCTTGACAACGTTCATTTGATAATTGGTAACTACCTTCCTTATGATGCTTTTGTATCTCCAGAGCTTTGCTCTTTATTCCATGTTAGTCTGACAGATGTTGATCTTGGTTTTGTATATTCGTACTATTTGTAGAGAATCAGTGCAGTGGTTAAGGAAATAAAGGTTTTGTTTGAGACCTAGAAATGACGCTCTTACGTTCTGTTCAAAGAATTTGATGTAGGATACTAGCAGAATTTCACGCTTTTGTAGACCTAAGACTGGGGGTGAAAATTTAAAAGGCCTTATGAATAAGACTTCATCTCATCAGTTGCTTTGCACAATAAAATTGCAGTTTAGGACCTAATTTTAGACAGTTGGGCACTTGTTGAATATTGCGAAGTTAGTGAGTCTTTAGCTCCCATTGATACCAATGGTAATTATTAGTGTTTTAGGAAACCTTACTAACTACCTCCGTCTTTAGCCATCTAAAATATCTTTGAAAAAATCTGACTTAAAGACTTACCAATATTGCACCTACATTAGTTTTTGAAAAGGATAGAATGTAATTGCAGTAGCATGTTATACTGCCAAGACTGCAGATTTCATTTTGTAAGGGAAAATGGGAGTAAGCAGTGGTATTCAAAATGCCTTAACAGAACCATATGAAAAACTCCTGGGTGGATAGTACAAAGGCATTATTGTCCTGCACAATATGGGAAACTAAATGTAGGTACAGCTTGTTTTATTTGAAACTGCTGAAAACCCTGGCAGAGTTTTGATGGGTCTAACTGGCATTAATATTAAGAATAAAAAAATTTTAAAAAGAAAAGTTAAGATCAGTCCCTAGTGATGATTTTTTAAAAAATGCATGAAATTTAAAATAAATGTATGTCGTCCTCAGCAGATGCAGCTGAAGAGTTTGAGAATATGAGAGAGTTCTGAACCTTGTTAAAACTTCACCTCAGAGTTCAGCAGTCAGTTCACAGTACAGAACAAAGGCGCTCTGACTAACCCCATTAGAAATTACTTAAGAAAATAATCAGAGCTTGTAAAATGAACTGTGCTATAATAGTGAGCAGTATGGAATTTCAAATTCCATTTGAAGCCCAAAAGATCTCAAAAATTTTTTTCGTGGCAGTAGTCTGTCTATTTTTCAAGTTCCTGTCCACTTAGGAACTGAGGTGTTCAGAAGAAAACAGTGAACAGTAAATTTTACATAATTTCAGTTATTTATTTTTCATTGCTTTCTGCCTTGTTGCTTCATGACAAGGATAAAGGAGAGAGGAGAAAAGCACTGGGCATAGTCAAACTTCAGAAGTGAGAGAATTTGTGTTGAATTGCAGTAACAAATGTCTTAGGCTAATGAGCTTAAAAGGTAAAATGAATTCAGAGTAGGAGTTTTCATCAGTAGTGAACATATATTAATGAGCCATTGATTTTTAAATGTGAATGTGTTAAATATGATTCTGAGAATTGTTTGTGAAAAGAATTATTTTCTTAATGGTATTAATATAACTTTTTAATAGATAGTATCAGAGTAACTAGCCACCCTTAGGAAGGTTGCTGTCATCACTTTTATTAAAATCGATCATTAATATAATCCATTGATGAGATATATTCCATTAGTAGTATTGGTAGACAAATATGACTTAATAGTAAAGGAACCTCTCATCGATAGGATCTCATTTCGTTGCAGAATTTGAAACTTGCCCTGAATTAAGCAGTTATGAAACAGAAAAGATGTCTTGTGACTAAACCACTAAACACTGCTCTGCAAAATTATACCTGATTTTTCCTTATATGTGACTCTAAGCAAGTGATTTATATCACACTTCCTGACAAGGAACTATCTATGTGTTACTGACATAGCAACTGTGTGAAGTGAGATCTTTCGGACAGTTTGGTAGAAAAGCTGGGTGTTTGCAAAGGCAAGTGAAAAACTGAGGGCTAACTTCTATATTTTTAAACAGTGTGGAAAGTAAGTACTCTGAAAATCAGGTCACTGGTTTTAAAGTTAGAGGTTGAAAATAATTCTGCTCTTGAAATAACCATTCACTGTCCTTTATTGTAAAGCAGAAATAAGCATTCTGTCTACTTATGGCATTGTTAATCAACTGTTAATAGATTCATTTTTGCAAACCATTGAGATACAGCAATGAGGAAACAGTTGAAAAAAAAACTGCGCAGAAAGAAGTAGCTCTGTAATTGACACCAAGTTTTGAAAATGTGTTAAATCAGTGTGTTCTAGGGGGCAACCTGTAGGATAGTTCTGTTCACTGTCCCCCTTTTCCATGAGAAATGATCACCAAACGCTGCCCAGACAGGTGGATGCCTCCCACAGTGCCTGTGTAGAGACAGGCAGTTCTAGCCTGAACTGCTGTCGTTACCTGGAGAAGGGTAGGATGAAGACTCTTTTGCCACTGTATGAGGCTGTATATTAAATGAGAATAGAAAGAAAATGAAAGGCTGACCTGTTTGCCAAATATAATCTCTCTTGAATGCTCAATTAGGCCAGAGCTTGTCCTATGTGAAGATTTTATATCCTGTAACCGTAATGCAGGAGCACAATGTTGATGAACTGAAGTAGCACAGGTGACACTTAATCTGGCATTTCATGATAGTTAAGTGCTTTAACTGCTTTTGCATTTAATGTAATATGGATCTTTAATGTGTTGGATAAGTAGCAGAAGTCTAAATATGATTAACATATATTATTCAGACTGTTTAGCTTTATAGTTGTGTTAAGTTTTGTTTAAGCGGTGAAGTCCTGAATTTGAAGGATTTACGACAGTCAACGTTGACCTCAGGATGCTATTAACTAACAGGCTTACAAAACTTTTTCTATGAAGTTGTGGGTAGGAAGAATGGCTCTGACTTGTGTTATTCACTTTGCACTGTTCATCAGCTGTTATAGAAATGCTAGTAAAAATATATTTAAACACTACAAATTCAGCTCAGATAAATTGAATATATTAATAGGGCCATATATTTGAAAGCATTTAATTTTCTACTTTTGTATAGTATCAACAGGTAATTATTTTCTCTTAAACTATTCCAGGTTTTGTATTCCTATTCAATAGGTTTTGTGTATATTTTATTGGGATTAACATGCACTAGCGGATTAAGCCCTGCAGTAACATTTTGCTCAAAGGTAGGCGTAAAGATTTCCTTTTTTTGCTATGAACAACTTAACCGGGAAACATTGCTCTGTATGGTTTTGAAAATGTCACCACTTCTCTAAATTTGTTTTCATCACGTAGACCAGTTGACTTGTTTAATTCATGCATTAACCAAGTTGTTACAGTCTGTGATATACAAAATAGGGTAATGTTTTAAAAACAAAATAAAATCACAGGATAAGACTTGTGAGTTTATAATTTCATTATTATTTTTTCCTTTATTTAAGTAAAATTAAATAAGGATCTTGGCATCAATGCATTGTTGAACAGCTTATTATTGCTCAAGCAGTTGATTAAAGACTGTAGTTTTATGTCATGTTGCAATACCTCAGGGTTTGTTTTGTCTTTTCCTAACAGTGTTGTTGTTGTTGTTGTTGCAGCATCCAGTTCAGACTTACGGTTATGCATTCTTTTTCTCCCTGACTGGATATTTTGGAATATCCTTTGTTCTAGCTTTGATTAAAATCTTTGGTGCCCTTCTGGCTGTAACAGGTATGAACAAATGATACCTTCACTGCTTTTAATATAAAAACGTGAAGTAATCCTGTCTTACTATTTAGGACAGAGCTTCTAAGAGTTGTTCCCGCTCTGGCTCTTTTTTCTTTTCTTTGTGCTGGCTTTGTCCTGATTTCTGTAGCATGGCTCTTCTCTTACAGTATGTGATTGAGAGCTTCCTGGTTCTTTCTATGCCACTGTTTCAGCCTTGAAGAGCCTATTAAGTAATCTTGCGCACATAGCCTATGCTATGTTTCGATGCAGGAACAATACTGTTCTATATAGAAGACATGCAATGGAAATGTATAGCAAGGTATAAGAAAAGGATAGGAATTATCTGAAACATGTACCTATTCAAGAGAGGCATGGTAGGCAGTGTCATAGCCTCTAAGCATCCAGTTTCTGGAGATTTTCAGCAAATGTTGTTGCTGGAAAAACTATGACAAACTCCTTTGAAGCTTCTGAATGTCCAAGTGGAATGCTGCTGTAGCAATGTTAAATGTACATTTCGGACTCAGTTCAAAATAAACTCAAGCAGATCAAATTGTGACTTTCGTGACAGTCTCTTCAGTTGTTTCAGTGAAGCTGAAGGGAATCATGGGTGTGAAGCAGTTTTAGAAGTGAGGATCTAAGCTAAGCAAGCTTTTGGTGGACTGTGTAGCAGCTGCTGAATTTTCTGTAGCTTGCAACTTATGTTGACGCTGGATAGGTATTAGCCTTCTATTAAAAACAAAAACAGTCCTTCAGTTGTTCTTCTGCCCTTTCAATGTAACTGTCCTGCAAAGAATGGAAGCAAGCCTTGCGTCATTTTCGGTTGAATGCTTGGTATGGCATGTGACTGCATCAGCCAGGTCAGAAGAAGCAAATGTACAGAACTGTGATCGGTGGGCTGGAAATGTTTGGGCCTATCACAGGTGCACCTGCTAGTTGGCCCGGCATGAGTGTGGAACAATATAGACCCATAAAATACGTCAGCAGTTACTGGAATCCTCCCCAAAATAAGGTCACCAAATGCCATCATATCTGTTCTTGTGACAGTTCATGTGCAAATGAAGAGTTTCTGTAAAGTGGTGTTCTCACCTAATAGTGTGACCATTTTCTAGCAATAAATGCAAGTCAGACCTATCCACAGTGGCACGCCACAGGAACGTATTTGGATTTAGAAGGAAAAAGAAGGCTTCTAACAAGAGAGTGTCACAAGCTTTTATAGATTTTCAACCTGTATAGGTTTTCACCCTTGACCCTTATCCCATATGCAACTGGACATACTCTTCATGTTGAGTAATCAGTCATCTGAAAAAATCATGATGAGAGACTGAAGTCCCGATAGCTGAGCTTGGCTGGCCCGCTATGAATGAGGAAGCTGCGTGAGCACAATTTATTCAGCACCACGCTGGCAAGTGATGTCATCTCCTTATGCATGGTCTTTACCCATGTGTTGGGTGATGTGTTCATTAAAAGCAAAGTATTTAAACCTATTCTGTGTGGAAGGATAATGGTATGGCTTCAAAGAAGGAAGCGTGCTAACTGCCTGAGATCCTTAAGGGAAGGAGCAGTATAGAGTATGATTAAACGAAAGAAATTGCTGGTAAGACAAATATGACACAAATTGTGACTCAAAAATTACTTTTACTAGTTTACTCTGGCTTGCGTCTGTATTTGTGAGGCCATGAAATATTTTAAGTATGCAACGTAACCTGAGTGTCACAAAGCTAGCTAGGTGAAAATTATGTTAACAGCTATTACAAGTGAAAGCTTTTATCCTGTATCATTTTGAGTTTGTAAATCGTCAGTTATCTAAAGTGTTTGCATGCCAGAATATCCTCGACTTTTAATTAAGATAAGGGGAGATGGTCCGGCGGTTAATTTTAACAGCAGTTCATGTTAATGTTTTTGATGTGCCTAACAACACTAAAGAAAGAGTATAAGACATTTGAATATTTTTCAGCATCGCTTTTTGTACACTTGCTTTCAGACTGTTCCCAAAATTATTATTCTTTGCTCTTTGCAATTGCTACAGAATGTAGAATTGTTATTCTGAAGAAAATTGTTGCTTCCAAACTTAAAATGTCATTTGTATGTATTTTTCAAGATTTAGGCGTTGCCTACCTAGTCTCTCCTATCGTTTGTATACTCGTGATAGTAGTCTGTCAAGAACAGTTACATCAGGCTCATTCCTTCCTCAGGTTACCTTTTCTTATAACTACAAACACCAGTCCCAAGGGACTGGGGGGGGAGGTGTAGCAAGATGCCATGGAACTGCTTTCCTCTCCTCCCTCTGCCCCCAAAAGCTGGTTTCTGTCAGGTAATGCTCTACTTCATTCACATTAGCGGAGAGGAAAATAGACAGTTGTCTTCTGACCTAAAAATTGCATGCTCTGATTTCCTGTGAATTGTTGCTGCTGTAGCACTTTTGTATGATGTTTGTTTTTAACAAAGTTCAGGACATCTACTGGCTGGAATTAGCACAGATGAGAGCACTGGTTCGGGTATTGGCTCTTAAAACAAATCTTACTGGGCTAAAATTGTTAAAAATGCTGTGGATTAGCAAACCCTTCCCAGGTTTTCTTGTGCCTGACCTTGGCAATCCTAACACTCGAGCCCTTTTTCTGTCTCGCCTGTAGCAATGTGAAAATGTTTATCATGCCTTGGAAGAATACCACATTCATTACTGTCTTTCCCCCACCATTTACCCTCCCCCTTATTGGGGTAGTGGGGTGACGGAGTTTAATGAAAATTGTATTTCTATTAGCACAGTGAGAAATTATCAGACTTAATTGGGAAAAAGAAGAAAAGGCACTTAATTTAGAAGGAAATGGTTACATAAATATTTTAATTAATAACTGATTTGAAAGAACAGAAATAATCGTAATTAGAAAAACTGAAGTAATTTAACCATTTTTTTAAATTATTCATCTGTAAACTGTTTTCTAATTAAAACTCAATTTTCTTTTTCATTCTCCTTTAATTTTTCATGTAATAGAAAATCATTTTATTTGATGTGCATAAATTTCTTAAAATATAGAGGAAATTATTACCAAAAAGTTGAGATTGAGGCAGAATAAGCAACAGTGAAAGATGTTTCTTCCAATGCTAAACATGCTTTTAAGGAAATACTGTTTATGGGGGCGGGGGGAGGGGGGAATGGGAGAGAATGAGACTCACTTTAGGAGCTGTAACAGCCTGGAAGTACTTATATGGGTAGTCATTGCTTCCTTTTGTTAGTATGTTACAATCATACTAATGTGGATGTATACAAGCAAAGCTTTTCTTCTGGTATAGTAAAAAGTACTTAATGGTGAACAGAACTATTAATAAAGAGCATATTTTTCTTGTGGAGGCAATTCTGTTAGGGTCTGTCTTAAGTGAGAAGGCTGCACTGTCATATAGCACCTTCTCTGGCCTTTAACCTCCATAGCGGAATATGTAGGCCTGGCTGCATTGTTACAATTTTAGTGTTTTCGTATAACCTACTCATTTAGAAATTGCATGTTTCAATGATAAAAATTGATTTGTTTCCCAGTACCTAATTTACTAGCAACGTTTTATTCTTGTTTGTAGTGGATACAATTGAAATTGTTCAAATGATTGATGGAAGTCATAGTTAATTTGGGACTAGCCCAAACAGATAATTTTACTCCCTTTTTGGTAATGGGATTGTATTCTCAACTCCTATTACCACCTTGATTCTTTTTAGTGATGAGATCATACGTAGAAGAAGGTTTTTAAGGTTTTGGTGGAAACTTACATATTGTAATTGTTGAAGTCTTGGTGTATTAGGCTTCTAGCCAAAGTTGTATTCCTCTGTGCTGTTAGGTAAAGATTTCAGTGGCTTTAGAAGAATTACAAGAAGTTGATCCCTTTCCACTTCAAAATAAAGCCAAAAGCAACACTTTATGCCACTAGCTTGTAATCAAATGAGGTGGAAATAGCAAGAGGTTTCGTGTATCCAAATCTTATTGGGCTTGATACCACTTCTTTCTGCTTTATTCCTTTTTAGTTTATATAGTCAATTGTTGCAAGGATTATTCATCACTTTCAGATATTGTGAATTGGTTAGAATGAAGTTATTGAGTAGCAAGTCTTCTTTTTGGATGTTTCTCTGCTCCTGGAGCTGATATTACTGATACACTGTGCTCATTTCAAACAGGAGTGGTTCTAGTATTATTTTACACTGAGCCAGTGCATCTACAGTCCGTGCTTGCACTAGGGATGGTAATCAGTATAGGCAGGCACTTTAATCATGTAGTTAGGCTATGTGCTAATATTGAAGACTATCTTACATTCTTATTCCTGAAGAACTTAACATTTCTTTTCCTCTGCAGTAACAACAGGAAGAAAAGCAATGACCATTGTGCTTTCTTTTTTGTTCTTTGCAAAGCCATTCACTTTCCAGTAAGTATTTATAACTTTTAATGGGTTTTCCAATATTTTATAAAAATTGGGTCCTTGATCATAGAAATATAACAACAGTAATTATATTCAGGCTTTAATGGTTTTCCTTTCATATCTTCTATAAATGTTGGCAGTCTGTTGTAAATATTGACTGGCTTGTTGATGCTAATCATGCTAGAGAAGATAATTTCTGTTTTTCTAAAGGTCTAGAAGATAAACTACTATTCCATGTGTTGGCTTTTTTGTTGTTTTTAAGAAAAATCTTATGATAGTTAATAAATTGTTTTAGTGCTTTCTCTATGGAGGAAGATTTGGCTAAAGGAAGGTATTTTCTCCATTACAGTGTAGTTTCCCCTTTTATGAGCTCAAGTTTGAATTCTTAGCTAGCCCTTTTTAATAATAGCAATCTTCCGTCATCTTCATACATTAAGCTGCAAGTTTTTGAGGCTTGGGATATTTTTCTTTAGTTTTTTGTTTTGTTTTGTTTCAGAGAAGGGCTTTCATTGAAAAGTGCAGCTAAGTTACTACATTTATCCTAATTACTTCTGGTTTGAAAGAAGTATGTGTGTGTTATGTGTAAATGTATTTGAAATTTAAGAACAAAGCTTAAAGCCAAATGCTTAACCAAATTTAATTTATTCCTGCTAAACATGTTTAGGCTTAAAATAATAGAGAGCTAAAACAAAAAAAGGTGCTTACATTGTAAAGTACAGACACAGGGCGCTGAGTGGGAATAATGTTTTGGAACAGTAACAGAAAGTATAGCTCTCCTAAATGTAGGAAGGAAGAACATTTTAAAACCCCTCAGGACTACTGTATTCGTATAAGAAATAAAAGATGCTGTTTAATTATTATTTAACTATGAATGCACCATAGTCAACTGTCTAGTCTGCACAGGAAAGTTGGAAGGATAGTAAAACCAAAAATTCAGACTTCCTCTGAGTCCACTAATTCATCCTTTCTGATCTGAAACTCTCATACTCTTCCCTTCAGGCAGAGGCTTTGTTTTTATTTAATCCACAAATACCGGTATGTAATAATTACCAGTAAAGTGTTAATGATAACTTCCTCTCCCTCCTCTTCCTCCCCTTTAGGTATGTGTGGTCAGGCTTACTGGTTGTCCTTGGTATATTTCTGAATGTTTACAGTAAGAATATGGATAAAATCAAACTGTCTTCACTGCATGGTCTTTGGAAAAAAAGTGTGGAAGAAAGAAAAACAAGGACGTTGTCACAAACTGTATAGACATGTCATGTCTAGAGTATGACTTACTATTATTACTGTTTTACTGGAACAGTCTTCAACTGATTCACTTTCCAAAGGGAACATTATTAAAACCAAAGGAGCTGAAGGCATATCGTCTGCTAGCAGATTGCTGGAAATGCACGTTTTGTGAGCCCTTGTGAGCCCTTCAGGGCACTTGCGTTCATCATAAAAGGTGTTACAGGCATTATCAGATGGCATTATCAGGCAATGAAGGACAGCAGCTCCTGGCGGATTGCTGAGAAGCTGCACTCCAAGTGAGACACCGTAGAAGTATAAGTTGGGCATTTTAATGATCCTGGCCGTGTGGCTGATGTGAGATTAGTAGTTCTTTGTCTTTATTAATTGTTTGGGTGGGATTATTTAAACATTATACTGTATTAACATTTAATGGAACTTAATCAGCAACTGGTTGACCAAAACAGCAATTTTTAACACTGGAAAATTTAGAACATGTTATGTTGTCACTCATTTTAAATAAAAAAAGTGCTTTTTTTTTTTTTTTAAAGTCTTGATCGTATCATCCCAGAACTCGGTATTTATTGTCATAATTGAAATTTTTGTTGAATGTCAAGTTGTGTTATTCTTTGCCATTATTGCTCGCAAGTAATGAAAATGAGATTGATTTGGTGGAGTCAAAACCTGTGCTTTTACTCAGGTAGGATGTTTTTTTAGGCCTGAACTAGGTGTGAATGTAGAATGGAAAAAGTCATGGTAGAAACAATTATATAATAAGCTGCAATCTACTTATTTTGTAGTGAAGTACTAATGTTTTAGTAAATCTTGACCCTCCATGTCACCACGGTATAAATAAACATTGAGGGAAATCCTTTAGATTAGTATCCTCAACTCTCACTTCCAATATTGAAGTAAAGAATAGCAGCATCTGCTAATATATGTAGGATAGGTATGTGTCAATATTTGTCTGGTTCTGTGATGGATTTAAGAAGTTTAGGGTACAGATTACAATTTTCTTTATTAAATGACAGGAAGAGACAGTGTACTGCCATCCTTTATCTTTCATTTTGAATTTAGGAAGATTCCAATATTGCTATTGTACAGTCAGTTTCTCTGTCTTGCTTTCAAATTCAAATCACTTTTGGACCACTTGCCATATTTGTCATTTTATATATTTAATAATAGCATGTTAAAATACTAATTACCTTGCAGTTCAGTGTTCTCTTATAGCCGAATTTTTTTGGTATTTCCCTTAACTACATTTTGATTTATGTTCATTCATACAAAATGAATGACTTATTCCAACTGGGCAAATTTAAACTTGATAATAGAATTGTATAGTCAGTGAATGTACAAAAAATTGAAGACTCTCACAGGATTTACTGCCTTCTGCCAAAAGCATTATTTATGAAAATGTCCAAGAAGTACAAAATCTTCTTCAGGCATTTAGGAAGACAACTGCTGCTCTAAGGAGCTTTTAATCAAAGCACAGTCGCAGAACGTTCCTTAAGTTTTGCTATTGAGTTAGTAGCATATGCTGTGGTAGGTATGCTACGCAGCAAGACTTGAAATATTGTAGCTGTATTAGCATGATGGGACAAATAAGTGAAGTGGAGAGCTGCACTAACATAACTGCAGTGCTTCCAGCACTCAAGCTACTTCTGGTATGTCAGCATAGCCCTTCAGTCCATAAAGACGTAGCCATTGTTGCTAAGTCATGAGATTTTATTGTGAGTATGGCAATTTTGTTCTCTAAATTCCCAGCTGCTATGTTGATTGATTGTGTCCTGGGCAAGGGAGGGAGGTGCTAATGTGACAAACAGATACACCTTGAAAGAGAATGGCTGCAACATAAGAACAGATAGTGATGATAACCATGGCAAGCCAAAGTTTTCTGGTGAGGTATGAAAAGGGTTACAATTTCAAATTTGATGCTGGAGTGGATTTGGACCAAGTCAGAGGGATTGGCATGTGTTTCCTTTTCCATAATTTTTATCAACTCTTATGTTTCTTGCATTCCTCTACCTAAATGTAAATGGCTATTTCCAGTGAGGTTAAGTTACGTACCACGCTTAAAAGAGGGGCAGGTTTTGAACCAATGAAAAGAAAGTAATTACAGAACTTTGACTGCTGTGTTCACTGGCTCGATGTTAGCACTTGAGCATCAGTTTTGACAGTTTTTCAATGTCAGTTTTGCCGTTTGTAAACTGTTGCTAAACTTCATTGAACTTCCTGGGAGCCAAACTGTATGAATGCTACCATGCATGTAGAAAGTAATAATAAAAATAATTCATTTGGTACTGGTTTTATATAAATAGATGAGAAGTCACTCCCAACTTGTCTGATTGGAATTAAAATATAGTATGTAGGTTGCAGAACTGTTTATATAATCCAGTTTTGTCTGAATTTACTCTCTTCAGAATTGTTCTGTGTTCAGAATTATTTGCCTTATAACTTATTCTGTATCATATACAAGACTGAATTGATGGAATATTCGGTAAACAAAGTTTTGAATTTTTTTTTTTAACTATGGAAAGGTTTGTTTTGTCTTACAGGTATTTGGTACTTTTTTTAAAAAATGTGGATTTTATAGACAAACCAATATTGTAGATTTTATTATTAATAGCATAAATTTAAGAGTCAGGTTTTTATTTTCATAGGTGTGAGTTTAGTACTCATTAATCACCAATATGCAACTATGTTAAAGAAAATACTTACAGAAGTGTGAGAAGTCCATAATTTGCCACCTTTCATAGTCTGTGCAGTTTCGTGCTCATGTCACAGTTCATGTCACTGAGACATTAAGAAAACATTTATTTCGGTGATGTAATTTTTTAATAATGAGCTTTGTAGCACAGTGAGCTTTATGCAAATAAGAGAACCTTACAAACCTTCAAGTATTCTTATTACAAAGTTATGTTTTAGAAACTTCTGTACCGTATATGTATATTGTTTTTGTGTTGCCTATGAAATATGAGTAAGGGCTTGTCCACAAAGTAACTCCCAATTCTTTAATTTTGAAGTAAGAACACTTATACTGGGATGTAGGTTAACCCTTCTTAATGTTCCTATATAGGCTGATCATAGTAACTTTTACATTTATATTCATTAGCTCCTGGACCTTCATGCAATAGGCATTATGAAACTACAGAATAAAAAGATAATTTCTTTCACCATAAAAATTATCATCTAAATATAATGTGAATTAGTTGGTTTTTATTCTCATGCTGCAAAACTTTCTTTTCCTATCAGGAAAAATGTGATATAAGAATTAGTTACAGTGAGTACCAATGGGGTTGAAGTTCATACTAAAATTTAAGGCTGTCCAAGCTCTCCATTGATGTAAGTGATCTATCTCCATAACATCCTCCATCTCCGTCTCCTTTGGAGGACAGAGGAAGTTCTATTTGCCTAAATTAGTATGTGTTTGCTATTGTTTTCACATTGCATTTTTACATTTACTTGGTACTCTTGCATACCAAAATAATTGACTGTGCAGTGGGTTTCTTCAATATGTCACTATGTCAGTACTAACAAACTGCTAATTATTCTAATATCTATATGTGAATGCAACTGTGGGAAAACTAATGCTCTCCAAAAAAAAAAACAACCTATAACGTTTCATGAAACTGCATTAGATTGGTTTTTGGTCTTTTTTTTTATTATTTTTTTCCTCAACCTTCTCATGTGCTATGAACTTATTCACCAAGAATTTTAATGTAAAATTTACTTTTATAGCATTCATATTTCTCTTTCATTACTTCTGGATGCTAACTCTTTCCCTTCTTAATATCCTCTGTTAATGCACTATGAATTGTTTCAGCTTTGTATTCTTGCTTTTAAGAGCTCACACCATACTATTACAAATCGGTCATGTTCCACATTTTTTTACTTTATATTGTTTATGACCTCCTGGATTCTTTTAAACCCTTTTTTCCTCCACAAAAATTCCTTTTGTCTATACATTCCCTTATTTTTGAAAAAGTCTTGCAAAGTGCACTTATGAGTTAACTCCTTGACCTCATTTCGTCTTCCCAGAAAATTTCTCTTCTCCATTGCTTGCCTTTGAGAACTAAAGGAAGAGGAAATAAGTTACTGCAGGTGCTCTTTTTTCTTTGATGAGTGCCATCCATACGAAACTAGTTTATCTTAATTGTTTTTCTTCATTCTGTCACCCATGCTCCCAGCCACCAACAAGCCCTTATTTTATGTCTGTCCACTGCTTGCTCAGTCATGGAAACTTTCTGGATTTTTACTGTTCTAAAAAGATGTACACAATTCCATTTATACTCTGGAAGACAGGAAATAATTAGAAAACTAAAATTCTCAAGGAAATAATTAAATGGATTACTCATGCTTTTTTTCCAGAAGGATTTTATATACAATACAGGTAGGCAACAGCTCGATTTTTGTTAATGGAAGTTTTTTCTTTTACATTTTATCTATTTAAAAATACTTTGTATTAATTTTAATATTTAATATAGAACTCCTGACTATTCAGGCAGTTTATAGACATTAATTTTAATCTTGCCTGTGAGGCAGAAAAATTCTATCTCCATTTCACTGATGAAGCAGAGATGGTAACTTGCCCAAAGTTGCTTTAGTAAGTCTGTAGTGAACAGGGAATAGATGTTAATACCCTCAATTGTCCTGTACTCCAAGTTCCAGAGTGCTTCTGTACCTGAAACCAAACGATACTAACATCAACTCAGTTTTCTTTTACCCTGGAAATTTTAAGTTGCTTTTATGTTGTGTTCTATGCTAGTGTAATTTAAAGTGAAATCTAGAAAGCCATAAAGTAGGCTTCTTGCATCTTGTTTGAAGCTTCTTTTTACTATAGTCGCACTGTTCTGGGTCTTTTTGATTTGTTCTGTTTTCTGTTAACAGTGCTAATACCTACTCGCTCTGATTTGTTTGCATCACAGGAAAAGCATAACATCCTTCACGTTCAGATGACTGTTCTGAATTTTGTCCAACTTGTTAGTAGGCAAAAGCTGCTGTCATTTGGCAGCTGTATAGAGCTTTCATCTGAGTGTAATGTTGTCATGCCAGATCTACATCCTTTTGTCATTCTCCTATAATGAAGCAAAGAAAGTAAAGCAATAAAGAACATTCATGCACAAATATTCAATTGGCTTAGAATATGATGTGGACTTAACACTTCTTTTGTATACCTGGATCAATTCTGGTTTTTCTTGAGATATGATAGTTATATATTGCTTCTTTGCACTGTTGGATATTTAAATATTTTTTCTCTTTGTTAGTTTTCTCACCTTTGTGTTTCTTCTTCTCTTACTGTTTCATTTTACGTGTCAATTTTTAGCTTGTAATTTTCAGTAAGACATATTTGCAGATATATTAACTGGAATATAAAACTTATGATCTTTCCCTATCCAGGTTCTTATATTGCCACTAGTTCTCTTGGCTTCTGAGCATTCATGAGCATACTTACAGTTAGTGTCTCAGCTATGGTTACTCCTCTGAAGCCGAAGAAACTATGCAGACTTATTGCCTGACAATAAAGGCCTCTGTAACTGTTGCACAATCTATCTGTCACATGGGAAACTCCTATTTTCCTGTACCTGCAGCAGGAAAGAGAAATCAAATATCCCACATACTTCTGTTAATATGGTACATCTGAATCCATAACTAAGTCTGACTTCCTCTGCAAACTCTCTCCTAGAATAAAGTTGGTGACAACATGTCCTGTGCCAGGCATCTCATCAGGCATGGGAGAGGGCCGCAAGACAACAGGCTCTGCGTATGCTCTACATCTGGTTGGTTCTGTGATGCCAACATGGCTGCTTTGCTCTCTATTGATAGACAAATATATCTACCCTTAGCTTGCTGAATTTTCTAAGTAGTACTAGCAGTAAACAGGACTACCAAGTCAAGCCTTAGATGTGGTTTAAGAAAAGTTTTTGTGCCTAGTTCCTGTGAAGTCTATGTCTTGAGGAAATGCCCCTAGGATTGTTAAGAAAATGTGAGCAATATAGCAAGCTAATGTCTGAGTTCTCCCTATCCTACCTAGGAGGGACAAATAACAGCTGTTATACCAGAAAGTTATAGCTTGAGTTATGGTCTATAAAGCAGTTGATGAGTAGTTCAAGAGGCTGCTGAAATTATCTTTGTGAATTTGGACACGTTCATAGGTTCCATTTACTGGTACCGTGTGTAGAAGGAGTCAGTTTCGAAGTCTTCACTTTGCTTCATTCTAAGTTTCCAAATTCCTTTGTTTCTAGAGCACTGCAGTAAATACTGGCACTCAAAATTAACATAAATATAGTAAAACCTGTAGCTAGAATAGGCTTTTTTCACAGTATTTCCCTTATCTAGGGGAAAGGAATGAGGCAGCAATGGCATTCCAGTGACAAAGCATTGTGAAAGCTGTACAATGCAGTCTCTTGTATAAAGTTATATTGTTGGCCACATGCTACAAAGGCACTTCTTCATGTTTGCTTCTCCATGGCTTCAAATCTGCAGGTCCTCATACTTGTTTAATTATGTGAGAACCATCACAGTGCTTTGCAGGACTAAACATATTTAAAGAGCTCTCAGCACAATAAATTGAGGGCGCTACAGGCCATGATTTGGAATGGATTATGTTATGTATAGGAGGTAGAGGCACCAGATGTGCAGATAGGAAAGTTATTCAAACCCATCTCAACCTTAATTTGAATGACCAGATCCAGCTAAATAATTGTCCCTCATGAGCAAAACAGTATTGGGACTAGACATTGCAAGTGCTCCATCTTGAATTTCAGAATCACTTGTAGCTTAAAAGTCGAAGTTTTCTTTTTGAAGAGAGTTGGGAGGGAGACATGGCTCTGACTGGTGTGACTGAGGCAAGAAAAGAAGCCATATCATTCAGTGATGAACAGTGCTGTTAAAAGATAGAAATGGTGTCTCCACTTAGTGTGTCTTTACATGTAGCCTGCTATATTAATACTCCCATGCCTAATCCAGCAAATCTGCTTGTTCTTAAAACACAGGTAAAGGCGTTTGCTATTTTTTTTGAACTTGATGGGTTTGATGTTGTAATCAAAAGATTTGGACAATCATAGACATGTCCACAAAGAGGATCTGGGGCCCCTGTGAAAGGCTTTAATATGTAAAGTGGAGTTTATGTAGGCTTTAGGCAGCAATTGAACAGAATTTAAGCACTTCAGGCTTTAACACTCCTTTAATGCTTTCTTGCTCTAGCCTAAAGTTAGGATTACTTATTCTGCATACTGTCCAAATTTTGATACTGTAAAATCATTTTACTGAGAAGTATGCTAAAAAATACCCTTAATACGTAGTTCAAGGTAAGAGCTGGTAGTATTCTATCACCAGTTTACACCATTCTGTGCAGTGCAACTAATCGTAAAATCCAAATGAGCATTAATGCCTCTCCAAATGAAGACTGCATCCTTTATAAAAAGAAAAAAAAACCTACATAGCTAACTACATAGGAAAGAAGTGATTTAAGAGTAACTAATTCCTAGTATGAATCACACCTGATTTCCCCTGGCTCTTCATCCTTAATAAATGACTCATGCCTGGCTATACAAACTCAGTTTGCACGCTTTATCTTTCCTGGGATTAAAATGATCTGAGATTAAGAAATCAGGCTTGCATGCGTGCCTGGGGTATTGCTTAATACTTTTGGATCCCCAGGCATCCAAAGGAAAGACTGGATTCACCATCTTAGACTTGTTTAATTTTGCGTTGCAGGACAGCTCCAGTATCAGCTGTTCTTTCTCGGATAACAGCTTTTTTTGTTTCCAACAACTTGAAGCATAGACTGTGAACAAATGATGTATGTTTAGTGTCTAAATAGAAATGTCACTAGTTGGGATAGTTAGTGTTTTTTCCTATTGAGAGCTAAATTTGTATGGACAACAGGGTAGTAGCTGTGTATCAGAAAGGTGCACTGTCTTTTCCCAGATCAAATTTGTCTTTTCTAAATATAACGGAGAAAATGCAGTATCTCAGTAGACTGTGGCGAAGCTAAATAATAAATTTTGACAGCAAGCTTTTCTTAAAATCTTCAAAAATCCTTAGGAATTGTAACCTTTAGTATTTGGAGGAGCAGACTTCTTTACTGTTTAATGTTAATATATAGAATGACAAATTTGTACTGGAGGGAGGAGGAAAAATTGTGACAATTTGGTATCATGTTGTCAGCCTAAATACTTATGAGTTACCCATATTCTGCAGAATATGAGCATATTGTGAAATATATACAAATAAATGAATTGGTTGCAAAGCTTACCTTATAAACAGTATTGCATCAGTTTGAAATCTTCCTGACTCTTCTGTCATTTTGGGCTGAATAACAGCTACTTTATTCCTCCTCTTCATAGATAGGTAGCAGAATGTCCAGTGTGGACAGTTTAGGTAGTAGTATTAGGCTGTGTCACTGCTGACTGGCCAAGAAAAAGACAAAAGAGAGAGAGGAATGTGAAGAAAGTGCACTGTGGTAGGATGAGGAAAGGGAATGATAAAGGAGAGAAATGAAAACCTAGATGAGGTAGAGAGGACAGCAATAGGTTTAATTTTTGGCAAGTGTATTTTTTTCCATTACATAATGTTGAAAGCAACA